AACTACACTGAGAGTCGGACTTCTTAATGCGCATGTGCGGGCCTGGTACTCACTGCATGTATGCTATTCTGACACCGTACGGTAATCTGATAGAACAACAGTGTTCTGTTACATCAGCATACATTGTCAGATAGTCATATGCTTAGCTCAGACATGTATACGCTGTCATTACCATATGATTTTATTTAATCAGCAACATAGAATCATGACGTAGATCATCATACACTTGGTTATTAACAGTTGTATGGCATCCAGCTGCAGCCAGACCTGCTTTAAATACACTTTGAAACTATGACAACGCATGTATATCTATCTAGTTATCATATTATGACATATTATAAACAATTTAATTACTTATTTTCATCATAACTTGTTGCGTATACTGACAACTACACTGAGAGTCGGACTTCTTAATGCGCATGCGCTGGCATGGTACTCACTGCATGTATGCTATTCTGACAGCGTATGGCTATCTGATAGAACACCGGCAATATCTGTCAGACACATCATTACCATAAGATTTCTTTTAATCAGCAACATAGAATCATGACGTAGATCATCATACACTTTGTTATTAACAGCAGTATAACATCCTGACTTAGCGGTTAAGTAGGTTAATGAGTTTTACACGGGCCTGTGTTGTAGTTGACTGCAGCTAGATCCTGCTTTAAATACACTTTGAAACCACGACAACGCATGTATATCTATATAGTTATCATATTATAAACAATTTAATGACTTATTTTCGTCATAACTTGTTGCCTCTGCTGAATTGACAACTCTACTGACGGTCGGACTTCTTAATGCGCATGCGCGGGCATGCTACTCACTGCATGTATGCTATCCTGACAGCGTATGGCCATCTGAGAGAACAACGACTCTCAGCGACACTCCAGTCCTATCTAATAAGTAAAGAAATGAGCAGATGAATCGTACTGTTCCTGAATGTCACATCACTATATTGCAGACTTTTGGACATAGCTGTCCTATATATGCGACAGGTCAGTCAACATCTCCGCACAATAATTCAGGCAGTGAGTGATAACATTTTTTCATCACAATGCTTATGTGTCTCTGTACAGCTAGCTTTGATAACATCACGTTAATGGAGTTTACCTTCTTTGAGCTACTTTTCTAAGTGACGAAAAAAGTTAGACGTTGTCTCCACCGTCTGTGAAAGCGAAGCGCTGCTGAGTTAGCTGTGGTCATCGGATTTCTTATGATTTATGCAGCGCAATTCTATTACTGACGATTAGACCGACATCTTCTGCTGCTCAGAGAAAACAACTGCGCATGTCTCAGAGCGCCGCGTGCGAGTGAAAGGTGGGGAGGGGAGTAACAGAAACAGGTTACTGTGGATTTTAATCGGTGCGTTTTCATCCACCGAAAGCAAATAAGTTAACAAATAAACTGGATAGTGTGCTGTACGTTTAGTGATATTTTCACAGTTGCGGTCTTGACTTGTCTTGAAATAAAATGCCGAGTCCTCAGCGCCTGAGACAGAGACAAGACCGAGACCAAATGTGGTCGAGTCCGAGACGAGACCATCAAAAAATGGTCTCGAGTACTACAACACTGACACACACATATTCTCATGAATATTCAGATTCAGTAAAACAGCTCCTTCCATCTGTGCATGTGTGGGTTTTCCCCAGGTACTCCTTCCTCCCACAGTCCAAAACACAGGCATGTTAGGCTAATTAGCAACTCCAAAATAGAAAAGGGAGTAGAGGGTGTGAGTGTGCATAGTTGTTTGTCTTGCATGTCTCAGTGCTGGCCAACACTGGTGGGATGGCAGAGCCTTCTCTGAACAAGAGGCAGTAGGCCCAGAAACTGCGTGAGTGGATATTTATTAAAATGGTACAAATGGTACATTACCCAGTAATCCATGTCCAAAAGAGGGATTTTCATACTTGGTCGTATAGTTACCAGTGGAAGCTTGACAGCATATTATGTTCCACAACACTAAATGAGAGTTGGATTCGGCACTGCAACGTGGAGGAAACGCACCACCTCAAACATGAAATTAGGAAAGGATCTTATTTAACTCATTGTTTGGGATGTTCCAACAAAAATCTACAAATGCAAAATCATGCATACTCCAACGCTAGCATTTGGCTGTTAAAATGTTTAGAGTGGCAGATGACCCAGATTTGAGGGCTTCTCTGTGATTTTGGCTGCTAGGTTTACTTTGTCTGTAGTATTAGTACTGGTGTTTGTGAAAATGATCAACTCTACACACTTTGTACATGTAGCATTTAGTTAGTGTGATGCCTTTAACTGTTTTAAACAAATAGGAAAAAGCTGAAGACTTTTAATTACACTTTTAGGACGCAACACCACTTCTAGGGCTCACAGTCTGATTTCTGCAAACAAAAGAAAAAAATAAATAAAAATATGCTTCTCTTGAGCTTCATGGTGGGACAATAAACAATAGATAATGTCAAACCTATGTAAAAAAAAAAAAAACAACAGAAAAAACCCATTTTATGTCATGATTTCATATGATGAGAGGAAAAGCTATTGAACCAATTTTTCAATGCACTGTGGAAAAAGTAACTGCCTCCTAAACCTAATAACTGGTTGTGCCATTTTTAGCAACAAAATCCTGGTTTATGACGGACGATGGGTCTCTGTGTTTTACTGCAGTACAAAAGTTTTAGGAACGGTTTGGTAACATGCTTACAGATGCCGATTTCCACGTCTTGGAAAGGGGTTGATGTTTTGCTATGATGTCTACTCTACTTCATGTCAAACAGGTTCTGTTGAGGTGATTTCTTGATTCTGAATGTCTGGCATTAATCCTGCCTGGGTGTGTCTAATTAAATTGCATATTTGCATAAAATGTGTCTGAAACCATAAATAAATCTGTTAGTGGGCTAAATACTTTTTCACATCACTTTGGGTTATCTGGGCTAGTGGTACATTAAAGTCTGAAAGCAAGAGATTTATTAAGCACCAAATAACTTATAATAGGTCTAAATATGCAGGGACTGAAAGCAAAACAGCTGCTGAAGACTCTTTATTTAATCGTCGTTCTGCCCTCAAGTGGCCAGACGAAGCGTTGCAGCTTCAACAGGACTTTGGCCATAAAAATGATGGCAAAGCATTTGTTTAAGAATGTCTTTTAATGTTTTCCAGTTCAGATACACAACAAACAGTGTGTAATAGCCTCTATTTGAAATAGAAATATTAACTTTAATTCTCTCAACTCCTCGTTGTCAAATATGCTCCCTCTGCGTATTTTGCGCCTCAAGCAGGTTACCGAGTCAGACTAAATGAAACAGACAAACAGGTGCAAGCCTTCACTGTAACATCTGGCATCAAAAGTTTCAAGAATAGGATATTTGAGTCTGCGTAATGCGAATTGTCAGCCAACATCAGAACTGCAGTGTAAACATGTAGACTTGGTGAGTGTGCTTCCGTTTTTCTGTTGGCTGGTTTCAACCCTTGTTTCCAAAAGAAGGGGACAGGGGGATAAAAAATAAAGCGTTTCGCTATGTTAACCTCAGGAGCGCGGGTAACTGAAACTCACACCAAACGGCTGGGTCAACGATCCCGTTGACAGGATGTGCAGACGAAAACTGCGAAAGTTAGCAAAAAACAACCACTATGAATATAGTTCAAAATAAGACCAAAAGAGTACAAAGGATTTCAGAACCTTCCAGTTACGTGGGTAATATACCGTATGCTCAAGACGACGTGAGACAATAACAACCAAGTACACCAGCGTCACAAATTGAATTTCTTGATTTACGCCCTGCTTTGAGCCAATTTGTAACAAAATCTGTTTTTTTTTTTTTTCTTTTTCTGTCTCATTACTCAAATCCTTCCTGTTTCCCCTTCCTTCATCTGTTCTCTGCAGCTGTTCTTTGGCTTCTTCACCAATGAGAGAACTCATTTCATTCAAAAGCTGCCTTGTATGATTGATGGGACGGTGCCAAGTGTGCACGGTACGCTTTAGACTACCGCAGATAATCACGAGACCTGGGCCACTCGGAGCCAGAAAGCATTCCTTTTTCTGTTTCTTTACCTCGACCATGCTTTTGCTTTTTTTTTTTTTTTTTTTTAAATCATTCATGTATGCTGATAGATGTCCTCATGTGCCCACCTTATATGATTTGATCATGAACTCAGTTACAGTGCCTTGCAAAAATACTCACTTTTTGCTACATTACAACCACAAAGTTCGATGCATTTGATTGGGATTTATTGCAATGGAACATCGTCAAGCTAAAGGATTAATGGTATTAACCAATAAGAATGCAAAAAATAGACCAAATGGTGGTATCCGGCCTTTACTCTGATGCCCCTAAATAAAATCCAGACCAACCAGCAGTGCTCAGAAGACACATGGTTAGTAAGAGTCGGTCGAACCTGTTTGAAACTGGGGTGAAGGTAAAAAAAAAACAACAACCAAGAACTATGTTGGCGTTACTTAGTTTTAAAGAATGGTTAAGTATTAAAAAAAAATCCAGAACTGAATGTTAATGTAAATCTGTGCAAAACTGGTAGAGAATATCTCAAAAAAACTGGTTCTACAATGACCTGAATCAGAGGAGGCTGAATACAAAAGCATGCCAAAATTCACAATTGTGAAAAAAAAAAAAAAAAATTGTAAATCATTTATAATTTTCCTTTCCACTTCACATTTATAGTTTGTGTTGGTGTATTGAATGAGATCCCTACATGGAAACTTGTGGCTGCAATGTGACAAGTTCAGGGCCCTACGAATAGTTTCGCAAGACATTGTAAACAACGGCTGATCAAACCGGCTGTGTGTGCATGAGCGTCGAAATCATGTTAAGACATCTAAACTTGCACCTGTTGTCTCAAAGAAAAACGGATCCGGCCAATCACTCCAAACCAAACGACAAAACATAATATTTACAAATTCCAGTTTGTTCTCGTACACTTAAAAATAAAAAATAAAGTTCAGTTTGTGTGGTTCTCTTGTTGGTTTTTCGTCCTCCCAGCTCGCTCCAGCCCAGCGTGAGGGATGGCAGTCTGGATCCGGGAGCGTCGACATCCTTAAGCACGCATGGGGAGGGCTGGAGAGGGGGGGGGGGGGCCGCGGGACGTTGCAGATGCTAATCCCAGTCGCCTCACCTTTTCTGGTACAAGGTGTGAGTAACGTCTTGTTTAATCAGGATTTTTTTTGCCCCCCTCCTTTTCCCCTCCCCAACGCATCTGACGGATCACGCAGACTGTTTCGTCGTCGTCACCAGTGAGTCACTGCTTCTCCGGTGTTGTCCTAATGTCACAGTTTTTCCTTTGTTTCCCCCCCCCCTCCCCCGACCCCCACCAAATATTGTCCAGGGTACAACCCATCCTTGTGTTCAGTTGTGCAAAACAAGTGACACAATCATACAAGGCTCTCGTCATCTTTTTTTTTTTTTTTTTGTTTTTTGTTTTACCATAAATATATATTTTTTCTTTTCACCCGCCGTGCCGAAGCGAAAACCATGAGACGACAAAAGAGCTGACGAAAAAGAAAAAAACCAAAAGAACAATTGATTCGTCCTCAGATGCTCGAAGCATTAACGTAATGTCAGTCACGTACGTGAACCTTGCTTGGATTATTCACGTGAAGAAGTCATGTCTCTGGTTTTTCTTTTCGTAACGTAGAAAGTGCTTTCCTCGTAATGAGACTGAGAGACAGTGACTGTGCAAATTTGACAGTTTTAAAAGAAAAAAAATGTGAGGATTAAAAATAAAACAAGGCTTTCATCAGTCTCTGGTAGTCTTGTGGCACAGCCGCGGTGTTAGTAAATGAAAAAAAAAAAAAAGAATAAAATAAAGAGGAAATATTTACTCTCTTTGTTATAATCATAGCTTTACACAATATCTCTTTAATACTTTCCGGAGTACCACAAAGTGCAGCTGATATTAAAATAGAAAATGAAATATTTCCAAAAGCAAAACAATTCAATGGAAAGTAACCAAACAAGGCAATCGAAATTATCGAAATGGAAAAACTCTGCCCCACACAAAAAAATCATGCAACTATCCCACACAGCAAAGTAGTTAATAAAACTTTATATATTTTCTTCTTCTAAATGAGGATATATTGAATCTGATTTCCCTTTATAGAAGAGACCAGCCACAGTGCAACATTGAGTGTAAATAAAACACAAAGTGTGTGTGTGTGGTTTGAAATAAAAGATAAAGGGGTTGGCACTTTCTTTTGATGGGAACTCCTTGTTGTTGTTTTTTTTTATTGTTTTTTTTTTTTTCATGAGATACAGTCAGGACGGACCTCGGCAAGCGGTCCACCGGACGCCGGCCAAAAAGGAACTTCATCACAGTACTTGGCACCAAGAATGCTGGTAAAAACGAGATATCAGAATATCTTTTTTTTTTTCATTCATATCCTTACAATTTATTAATAATACATCATTTACATTTCTGTTTTTCATTTTTTTTTGTATAAAAGACTCTTAAAGGAAAAAAGAGTCTAGAAGTGACTGAGAGAAGGAGGACGCAAAAAAAAAAAGACTGTTGATGTTTAATAAGAAGAGCTACAAGAGTGGATGCAGGAGGACGGAACGGCGGCGAAAGCGTGGGGAGGAGTCACTTGATCTGAGGTGGAGGAAAGAAGGAAAGAGACGGAGGTAATGAGTGAGGAACAAAGAAAGTGGTGGACGTGAGTGGAGCCTGTGAGGTGAGGATGCGGTGAGTTCTTATGGGCAGCCTGGATTCCAGGCCGCGTCCTGCTGAATGCGGTTCAGCTACTTTCTGCGAGGCCCGACGGGTCAAGTCCCAATCTGGAAATCTGTAGACATACTCCCCCAAAAAAATAGAAATGTTTGATTGTTTTTAAGCTGAATTTAAAATGCGTTGTGGGTCTTTGCGTGCCGCTGCGGTAGAGCTAGCATGTACAGCTAGCATGTACAGCTACTATCTTCTCCTTTTCTCTCTGTAAGTCTTTTATTTCTCATAACTATCAATAAAACCCCAAAAATTAAGTAAACCTTAACTAACAAGGAAAAGCTTATATACTTTTGGCAGAAGTATTTCCACATTGTGGGATTTTTGTTTTACGGACCAACACAAAGTAGCCTCTCTTACAGAGCGGAAGGCAAATTGTACATGGTGTTCCATTTTTTTTAAAAAGTCTGAAAGTGTTGCATGTGGACGATGTCTAATAATGCACAATACAACCACCACTGGTGGTAACTTTCTCACAACTCGTGCTGTTTTACCTGCTGAAGTCAAAACTTGGACAAAGGAATTGCCTTTTTACAGCTTTTCCAGTTATTTGGTAATCGAGTAATAACCCAGGAATTAAGCACAAAACCTGCTGTTAACAACACAAGCTAAAGTCATATTTCACTAGAACAGGCTGTGTGTCTGTGACTGAGTACAGAGATTCAATATAGAAGTACAAATTATTATTTTATTTTGACAGGAATAATATGTTTATGCACGGCAGGCATTTTGGATTTTGAGATCAAGACTGGTGAGAAATCTTGGACTTTCCTCCACTCCACTAGTAATTCACTGACTCCTTTGTGTTAATATTTCAAAGTACAAATTTATAAATCAGGCACTGCCAATCACCTAACACAACACACACATGAAAAGTACAATTGTTTTACCGTTTTAAAGTTCTGTAAAAAAAAAAAAAAAACCTGATAAGATTATAATACTAAATGATAATGCTGATGTGGTACTTGCTCCACAATTAAGGTATGTGGCACAAATTGTCAATCCACGGCAAGACTTAAAAAATAAATAATTTTCAGCACGTCTTAGGTTTTTATAACCATGAATTATTTTCCTTCCACCCACAATTAGGTATTACTTTATGTTGGTCTATTAAATAAAACCTTAACAGAACTCATTAAAGTTTGCAGTTGTGACAAAACGATCAAGGGGTGCAGACACTTTTCCAAACCACTGTGAATATCGTAAATGAATCCAAAGTAGATTTAGTCGTATGTGGCTGTCAAACGTCACTTCTATTCCCAGCCTCGGCAGTATATTTCACACTATACAATAATCTCTAAAATCACAATGCAGAGACAGCTGCTGGAGCACAGAGCTCTGTATGGGGTGCCAAATCCCCCTTCCAGATTGGGCCTTTTTAAAGCTGCAATTTGTAAGCTTCAAGAAACCAACGCTTTATGACAGACAGCTTGCTGGGACATATGCTGCCTCGCACAAAGCTGTTTGCTACTGTATCATCTTCTCCCTAAATGAATGACAATGTGTGTTTGTACTCTTTGTTAAACATTGCTCCACACTGACATGAAAGGAAACGCGTGTGCCAAACAACCGAACTCCACGTTATAAACGTCTGACTGATTACGACACCTCTTCGAGGGAGCTACTGGCCTAAAGCGGCGTGACCGGGAGACCTTTCCTCAGCACCAAATTTCCACTGAGCCATTACACGAATAAGCGTGATGACAAGGGCGCTTTCTCGTTCCGGTCCCCGTTGAGATGTGATTATAGCTTAGAGGTATTTCACCGCTTCAAATCTTACAAACTGCAGCTTTATCTGAGGGCTTGATGAGGATGAAGATGTGAAAACGGCAAAGAAGGTTGTGGGGGGGTGGGAGGGAAAGGTGAAGTTGGAATGGAGAAGTTTGTGTGACGCATCTCGGTGAGCCCAAAGGAGTAGCGGAGCTTGTGCCTGGTCCTATACGCGGGTAGTAGAGTGTTGGTGAGGCAGGGCATTGTTGCTGTGGCTGGGCACAGGCGTTGACGAAGGGGCTGGGACAGGTGGGTAAGTGTTAAATGGGTGGAGCGGCTGGATGCTGCTGATGGTACTGGGGATCATGGTGATGGTGTTGGCGGTCATCAGTGGCACGTCCTCCGGTGCCCGCCTCAGCGCCAGCGTGTAGTCAGGGGGACACACGGGAGGACGGAGAGGTTCCAGGTCACCGTGGAGGGCACGGGAAGGGAGGGGTGTCCCGTGCTCCAGCTCCACCCTCTGCTGCTTCATCTGCAGTGACATCAGCTCCTCCTCCTGACTGAGCGCTAGGTCGTTGTGCGGTGGGGCACCCACGACTCCCATGCCGACCCCCATGCCCATTGTTGTGCCACGTTGCGGGGAGAGCCGGCGGTGGCGCCTCTGCATGAGTTCGTGGCGCTTATCCCGTTTGTAGTAAAGTGCGGCGAAAGCCAGCACGTTCAGGAAGAGGAGCGACGCGCCGACGGCCACCGTCACGCTCAGCTCAGTGGAGTAGTCCCTCGTCTCGCTCGGGAAGGGAGTGGGGCGCGGTCTCTCGGAGCTGTCAGGGTCGGGTTCCGACGGGTAGGTGGACACCGGTGGCTTTTGGGGCGAAGAGTTGACGGGCGGGGGCACCTTGCGTCGCCCGGTGCCTCCAGACGGCAGCCGAGTTGTGACCGCGTTTAAGAATGTTTCGTGCAGGCTGTGGAGATGCGGCACAAGCTCAAGCCAAAAAGCAACCTTGTTGGCACGGTAGTTATCTCTGACACGTGGCTTCAGGCCAATATGCAAGTACTGCTTATCTTTGGAGCTGAATTTGGTCCAAATCACCTCCTCGAAACGGTTAGGCTTAGTGTGAATGAATGTTGTGTCCTGAGGAACAGGCAGATTAGGATCCCTGGAACAGAGAAAGAAGAGATTCAAGAGTTGTTGTTTTTTTTTGTGTTAGATGACAGTTGCCATCATTCACTGTTTCTAAACAGATAGACATCCGGTGTTAAAACACAGCGCTCTATCAAAGAAGTTCAAATTCATGCCAGTTTTTTTTGGAGGACATTTTGTTTTGCTGTTATGGAATTTGTTGCTTCCTGAGACATGGACGGACTGCAGGAACCACACACTTTTGTAGCAGTTAACAAGCTTCTGGTGTTATTCTTGCTGGATATTTGAAAACTCTCCCTGACAGAACTGGTAGAGTTCATACACATTGCATGGTCTTCTGCTGCTTGCCTGGCTTTTCACCTTTGTCAATACATTTTTAACAGCACTGACATTTGGGTTATACCATAAGCTCAATGTCAGCCTGATTAAATCTGAAATCTATAGATAGATTTCCACCAGTCATGTGTGTCCAGTTTAAGCAGATTCTAGTTTGTTTGCCTAGAAATTCGGGAGGTGTGAATAACCCGTCGAACTCTGATGCAAACTCTGCTCCACCTAAAAACATGGGTCTCAGTTAGGCTGAAGTGAAGTCTGGTGCAATTCAAATGCATATGTGATAGCTCCAGAAGCATCGGGTTGAATGTAGTGCAGGGTTTTCTGGTTAAATACAACCAAAAGAAACCTGTGAGTCTCGCGCTTGGGGCAGAAATGATTCATAGTCTTTCATGAACGAACAAAAGAGAAATCAAACCTCTAAAATCTCCTGCCACGCCATTTTCGTTTACATTTCAGGAAGAGGCAGAATGTGCTTCAGAGGTTTACGAGTTGCTGCGGTGCATTTAAGCAAACATTAAAACTTGCAGAGTGGTATGCATAGCTCTGACCCAGTGTGACTTCCAGAAAAGCCAGAATGAACTAAAACGTTGGCAACCAATTCTTGCTTTAGAAAATCATTTTAAAAAAGGTTGTAAGTGGTGTAGCTGTTCCTCTCTGGAAAAGGAAGGGTTAAAACGAACCCGTTGAAAGTTCACAAAGGTGATACTGAATGAAAATGTCTCGCCAGATCTGCACATCCAGCTAATTGTACGCTAACTCGCATTTTCAAGTCCTCTTTTAGATTAAAGATGTATATAAAAAAATCAGTTTTAATATTTTTTATTTGGGCTTAAGACCTGATTGAGAACTAATTAGACACAAAGATAATCAATATGTTGTGAATCTTTGAGTGCCGCAGTAAGCAGATCTGATCATGCATGCCTGGTTCTGACAAGAATCTTAACAGAAGCTCCTGATTATGTGTCTGTACATTCATGATGTCATTTGCTGTAGTCCTGCCACACGATTAACTGATTAAAGTGTTACACAAATGAAATGCTCAGAATCTGAACAAGACTTGACTTCAAAGGAAAGTGCCACAAAGTGTTATCTGCATAATTATGAAGTATTCCAGGAAACAGCTGTTCCACGCTTTTTAGGGTATCAAGTACATTGACGCTTGTTCATGTTCGCATGTGTCGCTAAAGTGATTAGAAAGAAACAAACACCATGGGAAAAGTGGATTATAAAAAAAGAACGAGTGGGAAACATGAATATAATCCATGTGAGCCAGTTAATGCAAAGTGTTTAATCATAAAGAGGTTCTCTTCCTCATGAGATCAGACAGTTAAGCTCATCTTCCACCAATATCACACTAGTGTAACACACAGCACCATTCATAAATACTAGCACCTAAACATATCCGTATTTAAAGTGAGAGCAGCAAATAACACCATGTATGCACTTCAATCTTTCTACATTTGGGTCTTTTACCTACCCTGTCTTTGCGAAGTTGGTCCAGTAGGTCATGACCACGGCGCTGAGCATTACATCGTTCTTGGAGAAGTTACAGGGGAAAAGATCAGTGGCTCCCACCATGGGAATCCCAAACACGTACGGGATCTCGTCTCCGTGAGCGGCGTCCGCCCAGTCTGGCCGTGCCTCCGTCTGACAGTGGTGGTGAAACGTGTAGAAGTAGACGGGCGACTGGAACTCTGCGTGGAGCTTGGCTGTGGCGACGGCTGGGGCCACCCACTGGTGGTCTGTGAACAAAGCCAGGAGGGTCTTCCTGCGCATGTCGCTGTTGTCCCTGTCGGCCCAGTCTGTGTACATGAACTTTATGGTCTCCCTTAGGATATCTTTACCTTGGAAAAAAAGCAAAGTTCAATGTAAGCAATCATTTAATACCAGTGTGTGTGGTAATTTAATACAGCTGTAACAACATGTTTCTCAATGTAAGATGGAGGCAAATAAATAATAATAAGGATAAGTATCAAATATGCAGTAAATGTATTGATCTTAATTAGCTTGTTAAAGGGCAAGGATTGTGAACAAAACACTGAAAGATTATGGTGAAGTTGCTCAAAAGTTGAAACAATGGGCAAAACCGTTACGTTTTAAAAAGTTGGTGCCAGTACAGCGCTGGACTGAAAGAAACTACAAAACTTATGAAAAAAATTATTTTGTTGTGACAGCACGAGAGTCGACGCATTTGGGAACCATCCAGCCTATTAAACGTTAAACACGGTGGTGTTTAAAAGCTGCTCTAAAAAATTCAACCGTAGTAAAAATTGTTTTTATTGGCACTACGCCAATCAAACGACTCTTGTAACTGTGAGTCAGTCTCTGTGTGAGAATCAAATCTAAATCCGTCCGTCCATCCGTGTTGCCCATAAAAATGCCACCACAGTATTTAGTTTTTTTTATATAATTTTGAAATATTTTCATGTACAATTTACTCTATTTTCTAAAAAAAAAAATATCAAATTACATTTTGTTTGCAGTTCGGCACATTAATCTGCCTGCACTTATTGTGCTTTCCTGAGGTGGAGCGGTAGTGGCGAAGCGGAACCTTTGTTTGGGGGGCGTTGCTTCCAGGTTGGTTTTGGGATGGACTTCCGGTTTGCCTCAAACGCAATCTGGATGCTAACGGCAGCGCTTCAGTCATTATTGCTGACTTCTGTTTATTTGTCCTTCAGGTTAGAATACGGTAAAAACAAAACAAAACATATAAAAACTACCATGTAAGATGCTTACATATTAGTTGACCAGAATATATCACTGAGTTACGGTTTCTGTGCACCGTTTTGACAATAGTTGCCAGTTTTATCAGGCGAGGGTAACGTTGGCATATGCAGTTTTATGGGGGGGTTATGTGTAAGGTTCATTATTGCCTGTGATGGAAGTAAACCAAGTTTACAAGACAGTAGTAATGTAAAACATTAATATTGTACACTGTAAAACGTTTGTTTGTTAAATAAAAAAACGCAATCTGGATGCTATCGGCGGCGCTTCGGTCATCATTCCTGACTTCTGTTTATTTGTCCTTCAGATTGTGTCATCACTGTTGCAGCAGTCCTGACACTCGGGACCTGTTACACATCCATCCATCCATTGTTTTAGTTTTCCTATAGACCTTCTCTGCATTTTGATTCCAACATTTATTATAATTGGAAACTACAAAAAAAAAAAAAAGAAACTGCAAAAGAGAAAAAGATATAGATATTAGCGTGGGACTAGATATCCATTTTAAGGTAAGAGGGATTGTGATCTGACCATAAGGGTATCCATACAGATTGTCCACGAAGTTTGAAATCGTGTAGTCGAATGAAGCTGCAGAGATCCCATCTTCTCCTTCACTGTCATCCACAAACTTCAGGCCTTCTCCCTGATTGACGCCCAGCAGTATGTCGTAGTTGAGGAACTCGCCCTGAAGAACACATGTCAGGACAGGACAGCGATCTAAACACACCGATTGTTAAAGGAACGACAAGAATCTGCCACGGTTCCGTAGGATCTTTCCGGATATTAGGAAGTCGCCGTCAACCTGCTGCATGAGGATCTCCGGGTCGTCTGGCACCACGTCCCCGTCCACCACGGGCCCGAAAGCAATGTGGTAGCGGGCGGGCTGAATGTCTTGGTCCACCAGCTCCCGGAAACTCTTCCGCCGCAGACAGTCCACCAGCTCTGCCATGTCCCCCAGGGTGCAGCCCACCTTCTTGGCCAGGATCTTGGTGTAGGTCAGAGGTTGGTAGTTGACCGACCAGCTGGAAATGGCCGAGCCGCTCTGAGCGATGGCCCTCTGGAACAGGCCTGCACAAAGCAAAACCACAGATTAATACACATGCAACATGAATGCTCTCCTGAGTAGCATCTTTTTTTTTTCCCCTTCCTTTTGTTCGGCAACTAAGGAGGCCTGTAAGGCCTTCCAGTGTGAGTGCTTTAAATAATGCACATCCTGGAGAAGGCACAATTGAAGACTGTAATGTACAAAGCGGGCCGAGAAGCTTAACATGCTGCTTTTAACAGCTGGAGAAGATCATTATGAACATTAGTGAGGAAAAAAAAAAAAAGAAGGAGTTTTTTCCATTACATACAGCGAGAAAAACAGTGACGAACTCCGTATCCAGCTGTGGTCTGGTTGGATGAAGCGAGAAAGACTGAAAGGAAGCGAGAACTCCTCGCACTATTGCACCGATGCACTATTATGTAAAAAGACTTGCTGTCCCTCTGTTTTATCTGCAGATTCTGTCATTAATAATTAAGCCTCCCTCTCCCCCCCACCCTCATATTCTGCATGTGCCCCACCCCCGCTCCTCTCCCTGTGAAATCAATTAAGAAAGCCTCTCAGCTGCAGCTCCAACCCCGCTCCTTTATCTCGTCTCTCCTCTGCAAACACGTAACATGCTGTACTTCTTTAAAAAAAAAACAAAAAAAAAACAAGAGAAAAACTCTTTGCCGCACTCTGCGCCGTTACAGCCGACGTTCAAACGAGCAAATTCATGCGGTACTCCTTTCATTTGCTTGTGCAAAGCAAGAACTGTAAAAACTTAACGCTGCCGTTTCCCAAAACTACGCAGGTTTCAGGTAAATTATCACTGACATTTCGACACGGAAAAAACAAACTCGAGCTCGCAAAAGTGTGTCTATGCGAACGCTCGCTGACTTTTTTCAAGCAACAGCTTTCATCTTTACTGAATTTGATCAGGATTTTATGTGACAGACAAAGAAACTACAAGTAAATATAACTGTCAGTTTGACAAAACTTAAAATCCTTTTTAAAAGATATTCAGCCCTCTTTTACTCCGATTCCACTCAATAAAATTAGGGGGGGAAAAAACTCACTGCTTTTGACCGATGTTTTTAAGAGCCACAGTGGTGTAAAGTTACAGACCACAGATCTAAAGTTTTAAATTTTATGCGACAGCAAAGATGTGGAAGGTTTTTATGGGGGGAAAAAACAACACCGCACATCATCCTGAACACGCCATCCTTACTGTAAGACCAGATGGTGGCAGCATCATGCTGTAGACCCCCTTCCTTGTTTTGTTTTTTTAAAGGAAGCTGGTCAAAGTAGATGGGGAGATAAATGTGCAAACCAAAACACTAGTTAGAAGCTGCTAAAGACTTGAGATTGCAGCGAATGTTCACAATCCTAAACAACCAGAGCTACAATCGAATGGGTGAAATTTTTTTAACTACGTGTGTGATAGCCAATGTAACATTTAAAAAAAAAAAAAAAAAAAAAGTTTTATTTTAAGATTATTGTGAGCATTTCTTCCCTCTTGATCGCACAGAGGACTCGCTTCTTTTTGCAGATAAATTTTATTTAATCTGTCCTGGGTCACTGAGTCAGCGTGAAGGTTAACAGTAAAGTAATAATCTGAAAGTTTAGAGCACCATTCTCTCTCTCCGACTCTCCTCTCAGCTCCAGCAAACACTGTCACATGAGAGGATTAGCGGACAAACATCTGGTGGGTGTTTTAGAGATGAGAAGCTGTCAGTTTCATTCCATAAATTTCATTTATCCACTTCAACAAAGCCCAGTTTTGTAGTTTATTTTATTGTCCGTTCACAGACAAGTAGTAGCATGGAGAGAAATGGTGACTTTAGTTTGCGACTGCCGGCTCACGTGGCGGACTTTTCTGAATAACACAACTCAAAGTGGACTGAGTGCTAGCAAGAGTGTTTTTCTTGTGTCATCCCTAATTTCTTTATATTTTGCTTCAAATTCTTTGTAATTTTTTTAACTTTTTTTTTTGTAAAGTTTGTCTTTTTGAATGGACTTATTCCTCAACTTGTAACCATATAGTGCAAAAATGATGGATTACCATTTTAATTTTTCAACTTTTGGTTGAAAAACATAGCTTTAGATGGTCTGAGCTACAACTTCCTATAACAACAATACATAAAATATATTGTGGAGGAGACGTAGTTACCAATAACCAAGCTGAACGTCCTTCATCCTAAGTGATACAAGGATGCTGTGTTGAATATGAGTTGAAACCCAAAGTACCAATGAAACTAGTGGATACTCCAACCCTTCATCTGACAAGAAAAGTTTAGATGTTACATGTTTTATGGGTTACCAAGGAGATTGAAAGTAATTTGTTGGACAGACGTTGCTGACCAAGTAATTTCCTGCCGCTGTTGGAGACACTTCTCCTGTCTTTGTATCTGACTACCTAATAACTCATAGGAAGGTTGTGCTTCATCAGTTTATGAAATTAGAAACTTTATTTCAGTCCATCATATACCTTATATCTCCTAACCTTCTGTTTTATCGGCCAATAAAGTGTACTCGTTTAAAGAATCTGACTTCAGTCCTGCACTCTCAGCGTACATAGTAATAAACAACTAAAAAAAAAAAAAAAATTAAGACCACTGCAAGAATTTCCTAAAAATTGTATGTTTATAGTAACCGTTGCGCCCCAGTCTGTTTAAATCCAATAAACACACATCATTATCTCCAAAAACATTGCTTTTTTAAATTATTTAGATCATTAAAGATACTTTGCTTATATGTGATTCCATTAAAAAAATACGTGTATTGTTTGGATTTGGGAGAAACGTTGCACTTTATAGAAATACCCACAAAATGTTCATCCTCCTCAAACTCATAACTTTAAAGGTAAAATCAAAGAGTTTTAGATGGAATGTGAAATTACTTTATACCTTTAAAACAATTATAAGAAAGCCTGTCTACTTTGAAGCTACTAAAAAAAAATGAACCGAATGCGACTTGGACTAAGTGATTTTTTTTGAGTAAACTCATAAAAGTTTCAGATTTTGGTTTCAAAAACCTTCATGTATCTGTTTGTTATAGAAGAGATGAAAGCAGAACTCCTGAGTGTAAACGCCCCATCACCAAGCAGCAACAGAGATGGCTTAAGGGTGTTTTGGTCCGCAGTCGAACTTAGTCACGTTGAGCCGACATGGATATCGCTTTGTTCAGCTGTATTATGTTTTCAGATAAATATTTATCAGGGAGCACATATGACAGCGACTCCCAGTGAATCTTCAGGCTCCGCAGAATCTGCTTGGAGATTAAAGGGGAAGCACGGCATCTGAGTCGAGTCACGGGTCACTGCATTCAGAGCCTGTTTGGGTTCAGGATGAACAGAGTGTTTCAAAGAATAGATTTGTTCAGAATATGTGTCAGCAAATTGAATTTGAAGGAAGTAAATGCTATTTTGCCTATATGCTTTACGGGAAGTAATCACAATGATAATCTTAACTAGGTATCTGTCTGTCTTGTGTTTCCTTCTCGTGCTATGTAGCTATGGTGGCTGTGTGTGTGTGTGTGTGAGCATGTGAATTTGTTACTAAGAGAGCAGAGCTCTAGCTGTTCTTCCACGGAATAAAACACATCCTTCTAAATGTGGCCCACAAACAAACGGATGAGATTAAACTGCAGATTGGTCTGTTTAATCTGAAAAAGGGGAGATGTATGAGTCGATTTAGGAGGACGAACCTTAGCTGTTCCGCAAAACTTGAAAATCATTTTTAGATACTCGAGATGCATATATATATATATATATATATATATATATATATATATATATAAAAAAAATATATATATATATATATATATATATATATATATATATATAAAAAGAAAAGTTCATACCTGTTGATCTTTTTCATGCGCAGATTTCACTGACTAAAATGTCTGAATTCCCTCACCAGCATTCATTCCTCTCTGCAATAGGCTGGAAACGAGCAGTTTATTTGATCCAGGTGTGTTTGAGCAGAGACGCATCTAGAAGTTACAGGATGGTAGCCCTCGAGGACTGGAGTTGGTGACCCCTGGACTAGACCAATACATGCATAATTTCAACTTTGTTGAGCAAATAAAAAAACCCCTGAAACGAGCGAGGTTTGAACTTACAGGACAAATCGCTGCCTCCTGAGCCACTGCCTTTCTCACAGGGCTTTGTTTAATCACTGGAATATTTAAAGAGCGTCACATAACTGCAAAACCAATGAAGAAATGGTCATCTATCTAAGCTAACTAGCTGGGAAAAGCAGAGGACGAAGCAGCGAAGTGGCCCTCGGTAACTTTGGAGAGCTGCAGAAATCAGGCGGGAAAGCCTGTTGCAAGGACAACTTTCAATCACACACTCCACAAAGCTAGCTTTTATGGAAGAGTAGGAGTGAGAGAATGCTCTATTTGCAGTTTATCACGGGCCATCAAAAGGACACGGCGAGCATGTGCTAAAAGGTGCCCTTCTCGGATGTGACCAAAGAGAACTAGCTAAGCATCACCCTGTGTTTTATTTTATTTTTATTGCATTATTCAGCTTCCCTGTTTTCTCTCTGTGCCCTTCTTGTCTTTAACGTCTTGTTCTTGTTTGGCGCCCTTGAGTGTCTACAAAGGCGGTTAAAAATAAAATGAGTTATTAACAACACATCAAAGCGGGCCGGTCCACGTCAAGGCCTAGATTAATTTGAGAGTCGGTGGCGAGATTTGAAAACTGACCATACATCTGCGTGATCTGACTGATCTTTGGGCTATTTCTCGAAAAGATGAGTCGGCGAAACTTTCAGTTTCAAAGATGGGAGAGACATACACCCAAAAATACCTCCAGCTGTCACTGGAGGTATTTAACAAAAAAAAAAAAAAATGGTTTGACACAGGAGTGGTGGGGTAATAAAACACTGAGAGTTTCAATAAAACACTATCCAGGCAAAATCGCATCCATTCTATTCCATTGACAAATATGTTGATCGGTTGTACGCCGAGCCTTAAATAAAACAATTAACAACACCCAGAAACGAAACCCTCTTCCAAAACACTAATGTCCTTTGACAAGCAGCATGGCTGTGATGCTAAAAGAAATTTACCCTCAGAATGATGGGACAGGATGAGAAGGTTTACACAGGCAGCACCGGCTCCGGAGCCAAAGATCGTGATTCTCTCTGGGTCTCCTCCAAAGTGCTCAATGTTTTCATTGAGCCAGCGCAGAGCTTGGATCTGGTCCAACAAACCATAGTTCCCCTTAGCAGATTGGTCCCCCGTGCTCAGAAATCCTGCAGGGTAAACAAGAAGGAACAGAGACAGAAGACGCAGGTTATGTGTGAATGGAGGAGTGTGTCGGAAATTCAGTCACACGAGTTGGACAATTTTTTTTTTTTAATTATTATTTATTTTCTGAATGATCCCCACACAAGCAGGAGGCTGCGCCTGTCATTTTCACGGATAACACGACCCCTGCCTCTCCGAAGAGACTTCACATGAAAAACCTCACAAAATCACAAAATTTCTCTTAAAACACCACACAGTTTGAAATAATAAAACAAAAAAATTATATATATATATTAGCAGTGAGGGGAGGAGAGCAACAGAAGGCGTGTTTCACCTTCTTCCTGTCCACACATTTACGCAGCAGGTGCACACCCACAACAAGAGAAAAATAAACCGAACATAATGCGAGCCGCACACAAACAGAATGCCTCGTTCTTCCCCCACCCCGAGTACATTACAGGGTTCAAAGTTATTTTGCCCATGCGGTGACAAATTTTTATTTTTTATTTTTTCAAAGTCTATTGCTACTCGCTGAGAGTAACGCACGGAAAATGATTTCTCTAAACTGGATGGGAATTCTCCTCAGAGCGGCAGCGGCAATAATGAGAAAATACCGTGTTTGATTTGGCCACTTCCTGTCCTGGCAGTTGCTGATGAGCTGTATTAATTGTGCCACTTCCTGTGAGGGTCTCCGGTCTCACAGCATTGACCATGACTGATGCCACGGGCAAGCGAAGTGACACAAGATTTTAGCTTTGATTTGGATCTAATATCTAATCACAAATAGCACGGCGAGTCCTCGTCTTCATTATGTGCGGCAAGAGTAATCTGGTCATAATTTAAGGGGTAATATGAATTTATGTCAATTCACTCAGTGGCCTTGGGTGCATGGCTAATGATGTCCCAACGGTTTTCGTCCTGCCAACGGCTTACTGTGATAGCTCTCATTACTCATGGCTTCCACTACAATGTTAACAGAATTATCAATCAGAATACATTTAAGTCTTTTTTTTCATGTTGTTGTTTGCATCCACTAGTTATTGTTAAAACATGGAGGACTTAAATATCATTTATCAACGTTCCTTATTCATAAAACTGTGATCAACTGTGAGTCAAGAAATTATTATAATAGTAAAAGTCGAACAACACAAATTGGGCCAAAACATAATAAAAAAAAGTACCACAATAAGAGGAAATTCAAAAGCAGATGAGGAAATTGGGTCACACAGCCTGTCCTAAATGTGGTATAAAATTATATCTGGAGGATCTTTTGTCTATCCTTCTATGTCTGACAAAAAAACTAATAGAATTTTAGAGAAAATATGACAGATCAGCATCAGAACCTGGATATAACTTTTGTATTTTTATTTTTTTTAACCACAGGTTTAAATTCATCACATGCGCTACAACAGAATACCCAGTCCTCAGTTTTTGATGATCATCAGGAAAATGATCCAAAGCATCACAACAACTTCACCTCTGAATGGCTCCAAACAGTGTTTTGGACAGGTCTAGTCAAAGCCCAGACTTAAATCTGATTGAGATGCTCCGGCAATACCTTACGTACGCTGTTTGGACAACTTTTCCCTCTTGATTAGAGAAATCATCAAAAACAATTACCTGTTACAAATCAGCATGACATAATAAAGTCAAGTTATGCACCATTAGCATTTTTACTAACACACAGAATTATACTGTGTGTCAGGTGTTTGTCCCTGCTAAAGGCAGCTACATAACATTTAGAGTGTTTAAAACCATGATCCATGGAGCACAATGACTTATTTGCAGACGAATTTCATCGTCTTGGAAGATTCATTTAGTTAAAAAAATATAACAAATGAAAATCTCATTTAAATTTATTGGCAAACTCCCAATTATATGAACAAATGTTATTCTCACAGGATGCCTGAGATAATTTTTGGAGGTCTTGGCATTTAACCTAAGCCCACTGATGGTTTCCATGACTCAGGGGTAAATTTAGGCTCCTTTTTATGAATCATATAATTGTCTTAAAAAAAAACTGTTTCTGTATATTTAAGGCAGCTTAATGAAAGCACATTGATTATCAGACCCTACGCCTGACGCTGTAGGAAGAAGGCTGATATCATCGCTTCCATTTTTAAAGAGATGAAAACATAATTGATTTATAAGCGAACAGCAGACTGGTGCCATGAGCATAATGCCAAAAATACAGAGTTGCTTAACATGTGTAAAAAAAAAAAAAAAAAAAAAATATATATCTAAAAACAGGGCCCATGAGTCAGAGCTGTATAAATACAACTCTAAGAGCATGCACATGTGTGGGAGTGTGCAAAACTGACAACAATTATAAATACAGTGTTTCTTTGACACTGACCTGGTTGGTTCTGGCTTGATCTCTGCCTCATCCAATTTTTTTACTTGTTCCATTTTATGAATTAAATCAAATCAGAAATATTTGTCGCCGGCAAAAAAATACACCTAAAATTTAAGTTTCCTATTTTATAGTCTAATCGATGGTGCTTTTGTGCTGCCGGCCGCCTAGCTGGACAAGCAACTCTTCAGTCTAACAAACTGTGGTTTGTTTGTTAGGTAGTAATCGATCTAGGAGACATTACTGTTCAGGCCTCCGCCTATGTCTTTTGGATTTTCTGACAAAGAAAATCAGGCTGACTTGTGTTGAAAGCGCTGGAGAAAACAGAGAATATGATGCTTCCTTTGTCCAGAGGATGGCTGGTTTTTGAAAAACATGTACGATGGCACCTTCGACTCTAACTTGATAGCAATAAGAAAAAAATGTTTATGTCTAATTACTCAAACACAAGTCTCATTCACGGTGTGGAACGTCAGGCAACAAGAATAAACAACTCATTTCTAAGACGCATACACACTTCTGTCTGTGCTCGGAGTGTTTTATTAACCGTAACCCCAGTTGCGACTCGGTTTAAAACCTTAAATAAAACAAAGAAAAAGAAAAATTACATGCCTCTTCCCTAGTGCAGTTTTCTTGTTTGGGAGTCAGGGATGACACAGATAGCTCAAGTGACTGAATTAAACAGTATGTTCTAAAGGGCAGTTGGAAAAAAAAAAAAAAAAGTAGGACAGCAGCAAAGTACAGTACACAGGCACAGATGGTTCAATCAGCATGCTTGAATGACAAAGGAAGAGCAGCAGGAAGTGGGTTTTATTATTAATGATTATTGTAAGTGACGATAATGATCACAAAAGCAGCAGTAATGAAGGTGGGAATTTTTAGTCCTGGAGGACTAAACATTTTATTATTATTATTTTTTTCCCTCCCTTTTTCAGTTTCGCATTTTAACCCTGAACACGTTTGATTAATCTGGTCACATATTAATCAAATAAATCCCTTTTTGTTTTTCCATTTTCAAGAAAATGACTGTTCTTTTAATGTCTTGCAAATTTGCTAAGTAGAAAATCTGCAGTGATTCAGCAATGTCCTCAACCAAAATGATAATGAGGCAGCGATCAGGGAAAAAAAAAAAAAAAAACAAAGCATGATTAAACTGGGATGAGGAGATAATAGGACTACCTAATTCATGAAAAACCACAGCTGCTTCCAGCTTCCACGAAGCCCAGCGTAGTGTTGAACAGGCTGTTAAAAATAGAAATCTCTCGTTACTTCCGATCATATCACTGTTGCTGCTGGAACATAAGGAGCAATCCGCGCAATTAAGATATTGTTTACGCTCTCCTACTTTACCGAGCCGTTGTCAGATCCCAGCGATTGTCTGGCTCGACTCTGACCTGGTCGTGCATCAGCGCCGACCCCTGCTACTTATCAAAACCACGAGCATGTGCGAGCGTCTGCTGGCCAGTCGAGTGCTGAGCAGCATGCCACAGTTGCCTGGCAACTGTCCAGGGCTTCTGGCAAAATTATATGGACAGACACTCACAAAAGCACTTGCATACACATATCCGAGCGCTTCCTCGTTCAAGTACACAGCAGCTGCATGAACTAAGAGGGTAATGCCAGAGCTAGCTACCGAGTCTGGAAGCTAGCTTGTTAGCTGTAGCCAACACAGCTTGCTTCGTTTTACGAGTTTGGTTTATCTTCAATGGGCCCCTCCCCCCTTTCGCCAGCACCGTTTTCTTCCCTCTTTCTCTTACAATAAGTTTTCTTTCTGAACCCACCCCACCCCCTTGTGCTGAGCTGGTCTTCCTCCTGACTTTAGCGCTGAGAGCAGCAGTTTGTGAGGTTGAGCTCATGCATATTCAACTCTTGCTTTAGGTAAGAGCAAAGGAACCGTGAGACGAGTCATCAGCCTTTAAGTAAAGACACAGGTTGAGGAAAAAGTGATGAATCTCTGAGGGAGCACAGACGAAAGGAGGGGATTTTAAACCCGAGATGTTTACCAAAATGACGTGAAAATTCTGACCCAAAAGAGTTTTATGACATTATTAGGGCACTTGTAAAAGGACTATTTCAAGTGCTGGTAGTGTAAGACATAATCTTTATAATTACACACATAATATTTAGAAGACGCTTATTTTGAGTGTGGTAAACTAAGCAAAAATACAAGAAAATTTAAATTGGAAAATTTGTTGATTCTGGTCATAGATGATTTTCTGTTTTACTGGCACTCACCTTTGGATAGAAATAAACTTGTGGATAGTGTTGAGAAACAACATATTTTCTACCTGTTGCTCGTTGTCATCTCATCTCCCCAGATTAGCATAATTAAACTAATATTTCCAAAAGTAGAAAAAAAACAGGAAAAAAAAAAACAACAGAAAAACTGATCAGTTTTTTTTTTTTTTTTTTTTTTTCTCAGACACTTAACCTAAACAGGAGAGCAATGTTAGCAGGTCAATTCTTTTCCAGGCTACTTTTGATTTGGAAATGTTTTTTGGCAGACGTTTGTTAAGGTATGGATCTTCTTATTTCACTGGGAAAAGCAACAGAGAATGCTAATCACAGTTAGCAATGCTAACCTATCATGCTAAATGCTAATATAAAAAAACTGCAGAGCTGTTTAACACGGACTGCAGCCCTACTTTACAT